ATTTAGTAATGGTTCATTTTAGTGATGGATCAAAGGTAGCGTCATTAACTTGAACCACGTAAAAAATCTGTGCTAAATGTAAGAAAGTGAAAATAATATTTTGCAAACGTACTTTTAAAGCAGGAGATCATACATAAGAGTGTTTGGGGTGGAAATGTAGCTGTATAAGCCTGAAGGCTAGTATTTAAATCATCAGTATTTGTAAGTGTGTATTTGCAGTTTTTATCTTCGTCTTTTACAAGTCATTCTACCCTGTATCAGCATTTCCTTTGCATTGATCACCTTTGTATTCCTTCTGCTGTGACTGATGGTATCTCTTACCTGGGTCCTTGCTCTCAGTACATTTTCTTTAAGTAACGTCTAATGAAACTCAGATTGATTCCTGCAATGTGGCCCCTGGGGAATTTCTATACAGTAAGTCTGAATATGGCTATATATGGGGTTTGCTTCCTGATTAGAAGCTGTAAATACAAAAAGCTAAGATAAAACTATAGTTTAGTACACACAAACTGCCAGTGCTCTGATGCTCAGGCTACAAGAGCTTTAGGTTAATGCAGTGTGCTTCACATACAACTATTTGGCAGTTGCAGCTTCCTGTTAAGTATCATGCCCCCTCTGAAACATAAATTATTAATATTTATCAATTCTGACATGCCATGGGCCTCCTTTGTGGAGTAATATGGAAGCTGCCATCATCTAATAGTCTTTTGCTGTCACAGTTTAAATGGGGCTGCTTAATTGCTTAATTGGCAGTTGTTGGTTGACAGCATTTTTGGTATGGAAGTCAGCTCCTCTCTTCACTTCTTCCTTGACCTTCCCTCTCTTTGGGTTCTAAGTTAATAAAGTTTCATCTGACATTGCACACAGAAAGGGAAGAAAGTTATTATGATGAAAGGTTTTATTCTTTTTTACAGACCGTAGCACTTTAATGCTGTTACACGTTTTGTGACTTCCTTCTTACTGTCTTTCCTCTGGAGTCAAATGTCCTCCGAGGCATTTGATAATTTTAGGTTGCCTAACGGGAATGTCAGTTTTAGACCGAAGCCCTATACCTCTCCAAGCATTTTGTTCAAGGCCAAGTAAGGATATCTTTATATAAGGGATATGATTTGTAGCTCTTAAATTGAATAACTCAGTAATACATCCCTTCCTTTGAATCTAGCGTATTCAGTGGAACAGGATTTAATGACAGGTTGGGACACAAGCTGTATTTAGTACAGCGCAGTAGAAGCGAGTCAATGACTGAAGCAGTCGGTCCCGAGGACCCAGCCCCACACTACAACCTTTGTGTGGGTAATGCTTTGGTTTAGGTCTGCTCCTGTGGGCCCAGTGCCTTTTGCAGTTCAGGCACCATTAGGTGAGCTCTGGGAACATATATTCCTGTTCGGTCGATCATGCCCTCCCTGATCGCTGCATAACATGAGTCCAAGCATGGTATATGGGTATGGTCTGGAGAACTTCCTCATAAATGCATTCCTAAGCCCAAACTAAAATGATAATGTAGTGCATCTCAGCTGCTGTATTTGTGAAATGCTACAACTGCATCAATTGACTTACAGTATGTATGCAACCCTGGCTGGCATTAGTGGAAGGAGGCAACAGAGAGGGACGAGAGAGCTCAAACTCCTTTAGCTGCATCCATGTCTGACTGATGTTCAGCATGAGTAAATGATGCAAAATCGGTACCCAAAATGCCTCGATTATCAACACAATCCTATGAGTTTACTCTTTTCGGTGGCCTCCTATTGCTCAGGAGTAAGCTATGCATTTCATTTCTCTACACTCTCCTTTTACAGATAGGCTTCGTTCCTGCATTTCTGAGTGAAGTCCTAGAGCATACCCTGTTTGGATTGGATCAATAAGACTAATTCAAGACCTTATTTAGTCACTATGCTACTCGGCAGATCCCCTCCTATAGATTTGTCTTTAAGAGCCTTGTAGAATCACCAAATCACATAGCGATTCACGACAGCTCCTTCAAAATAAGTATTCTATATTTGCCCACAGGAACAGAACAAAGAAAATAGCATTGAAATACCAGAAAGTTTACACACATATTAATTATCCTTAAACCAAAAGTTTTCCCTTGATCGCATAGGTAAGTATTGCTTGTTTCAAAGCACCCCCTTGTGCAGGCACTGGGTAAGACAAGTTGTACAAGAAGCTTCTGGCTCCCTGACACCTTGGTCACTTGGTCAGGGTCTGCATTTTTCATATCACCCACCCTGCAGCGTCTGCCACAGAGGTCTTTTGTTCAATGGTTCATGTCTGAAGACCTCCTGAGGTTTCAAAGTGTGCTAATGAACCTGATCAAACTCGTTTAATATAGACGGAGCTAGTCTTCAAACTGTAGATTCCCTTTGTTGTCCATTTAAACACTGAAAAAATGAAATTATTTGAAAATCTTGCGTAAGTGTGGGTAAAGTCCAACTGGAATTAACCAATACGAATCTCCAAAGTGAGCCACTATGCAAAACCAAGAAAGTTCATATGCTGTTGGTAAGGTTTTCATAGATACTATTTACAGTTGGTAAAAAGGCTGAAAAATTAAAAGGTGTTGACTTAAGTCTTCCAAAGTGACTAGGGACTTCTGACCTGTCCACCTTGAGACGACTTTATAGAAAAATAATTATTAAAAACTTGTCTTTTTCTGGAATTCAGGCTCCTCTGGCAGTGTCATGAATTAGGGAGCGCAGATATGAAAACTCTCAAAGTCTTCAGTAATTTTGGAAAATCTTGTCCATATTATGTAAAATGATTAACACTTAAAATTATTTAAATAATGCTTTTGAAAGGAAACAAACATCACTTCAAAGCCAGTGCTAACTGTATGTTTCACTTGTCTTAAATCTAACACTTACATCCTCTGATTGGGCAATCTCTGTCAGTGGTGATGTTCAGATGAACCATCTCCTTGACAGAGATGGTACACTTCTATTGGGAAAAAAAATCCATTTCTTTTGGCTTTTTGAGACTTAGAAGTTGTTTTGGAAATGTCCAGATTTTGGGTTACCCCAAATTTTTTCCTTTATTGCTTATGCTTTGTTTCATAAAAAAGGAGGCATATTTTCTTTGAAGAGATAAATAAGGAATTCTTCGTAATTCTTGGTGTCTCAGATATTAATTTGATGATCATTTAATTGCATCACAAGAGCTATTGGGTGAAATGAAATTACAAACAGATGAGAGCAGACAATGCATTATAAAAAAGAAGCTGAGGTATCTGCAAGTGTTTCAAATGCTCCCCAAGGCACCCTACATTGTTTGTGCTCCAGAGAACCGAGGCAGCAGTGCCATTACACCACTTTACACAACAATTTCAGCACAAAGGCACCTGACTTCACTACCTACACAAGCTTTTTCATCTGTAGGATGCACATGTATATATCCAAATAACGCCCACATTCCCTGTCTCCTCAATTCCTTGGCTCTCCCAGTTTACCCGCATTTGATGTGTCCCTCCTCTCTTTCCTCCCACAGTGCCATGCTGCTGGCAGAACCCCATCCCATATTCTTGTCGCTCCCCATATTCACTGGCATCGTGCTTCAAGCACTTCTGACGAGACAGCAAAACAAATAGCTGATAAATTTGGGCACAGCATTCATTTCATATTGACATAACTCCTGTAGATTGGCTCGGATATAAAGTATAGAGTTATGTAAATACCATTTCAGATGCTAAGTGTCTAACAGACTAAGTACACATGTGAAGTTTAGAATCTGAGAAGAGCACACATCGCCTGTGAAAGGCAATGGTTTTACATTTGTGAGTGCTGGATGAAAAAAAAATAAAAATTTGTAGGAGAGACAGTTGTGCTACAAAGTGTTACCACATCAGATTTGAAGACAAAATGAAATCATTAATGCATGAAATACAGATTTTAAGCTGTGGTAAGTGCAGATCTAATGCAACTTTAACTGCAGAATTGCTGCTGCTGACTCCATAAAATACATCTCATAAACAGCTGTTAATCTGTTCACTGTTTGTCTTTTAACATTCATTTGTTTAGTAATCAGTTCTCATTTGTTCTACATATGGTACAGCTACCCTTTTATAGCAGCTGTATCTAATGAACATTTGGAGGCACAAAATATTACAGAAATTATTGTTTAGCTATTCTCCTGCATTATTTTTGTATCTGTCACCAAGGACATTTGAATAAAAGTTAGAAAAAATGGTCATTAAATTTAGATTAAGGAAGGTGTAAGTACTCTGTCCTCTTCCTGAACTGGTAATTTGTAGTAGAAGTTCTTGTGACCGTGTTTCACACTCGGCTTAGCTCCTTTAAGCAATTAATTTTCTCTATTTATACTGTCCATTCCCTTTTGTGATTCACTGACGTCAACATGTCAAATTTGATTCACTCTTCGGTTTTGCTCTGTATCGTGTCAGAGACCTTTAGGTAATGTACTGAGAGAGTATCTTGCAGACCCGACAGAGTGCATTTCGAGATTTTTAGAAAATGACAATTTACAAGATTTAAAGTTTTGTCAGGTGTTCTGGTTAAATGTGGGGATCAGTGGTCATTAAAGCTGATTTGTATGAAGATAATTCCCCTCTGGAGTACTTGTGTTTAAGTGTCATCTTAATTCCTTTTTTCCAAAAATTCTGATCTTTAACAAGACCATTTTATCGTAGTAAGTGTTCTCTGTTATTTATTCATGCTTCAGCCATGTTCAGGATCCTGGACTGAATGAATAAACAGCACATACCCTATTCTTTATAAGAAAGTATAGGTGAGAATATAGCTATGTACTGAAACTTTGCTAGCGTTAGGGCACACTGACAAATAGGGCAAATGCCCTTGGACTGGAGAGTCTTTTGCCCTCGGTCGGTCTTTACTGGTGACCTTGACCTGCATCTGTTGCGCGGAGTCTGCGAGTCTGTCAAGTACAGCAGCGGGCAGAGGAGAAGGGCTGTTCATTAAAACTGACTGCTTGGTTTGGATGCCATTCCAGAAGAGGGAAATTTCCAGTCAGTTCCACCTGATTCAGCCACAATGCCAGGTGGGTTGGGGAGGTGATTAAAGAAAGAAGCAAGTAAGTGCCTAAATGTGCCGAGTATTTTACAGATTTGCACAGTGTAAATATTTTGGACATATTGTTTTCAGATGGTTGATTAATCAAAATAGCTGCAAGTGAGTTTGATATGTGTCACCAGGCATGTAAATAGATAGATGTGTTAAATTGGTGTTGTGTGTGCCAGTGCTCAGTTGGGAGAAATATACAAATGATGACAGGATATTTTAAAAATTATTTCAGGTATTTCTGCAAGACATTTTCATTGAAAAAAAGCTTAGCTGTGAAAGAAATGTACTTGTTTCTAAATTTAACCCTACTAACAGTTTACCTCCTTCTTTTTGTGTGTGTTTCTTTTTCTCTTCCAGTGCCACCTTGGGCCTTAATAGCCATAGCCATAGTTGCAGTCCTATTAATCCTTACCTGCTGCTTTTGTCTCTGTAAGAAATGTTTGTTCAAAAAGAAGAACAAGAAGAAGGGAAAGGAGAAGGGAGGGAAGAATGCTATTAACATGAAAGATGTTAAAGATTTAGGGAAAACCATGAAAGACCAGGTAAAGTACCTCTCCTTTTCTTGAACTCTTGAGTTGCACTTGAAGGTTTCTGTTTGGTGTGTCTGGAAATAAAGTTCTGCTTGTTACCTCAGTAGTGGCTCTGTGAAGAGGGGACCGATTGGCAGCATCTTCTCAGTGGTATCACAAAAGATGAATCTGGGTACGGCATCACTGATAAAGCAGTCAGACAATTCCCCTGCTCTGATTTAAAAAAATGAGCAGGCATATAATGACTCATCTGGAAGGGACAAGTTTATTGAGACTATCTTGGTTGTCACAAAACTGAAGCAAATGTGCACAATTTTCACTGTCCTTTTTCAACTTTGACCAGGACCTAGTACAGTGTTTGTATATCTTTCTAGCAGTATTTCTGAGCTCTGACTCCAAATCTCTTTTTACACAAAAGCAAAAGTTCAGCAGAGAAAGAAACAACGGTATGGAAGAAGAAAATGAGAAGCATAGAAACAAGGAAAAACAACCAAAAAGGAAGATCACAGGGGCATTCAACGCAATGATGCTGGGAGAATTAATTTTGTACTAGAGAGGAGGAGATTAAAGATAACAGGCCATACTTGTAGCTGTAAGTCAGCTGAGTAACTTTGAGGGGAAAATTAGCATAATGCCCTTTGAGCAGCATCATTTTCATAAGGGCAGAAAAACTTATCCTTCCGATCTGTTTCATGCAAGAGAAGCACGAGGTTGCAGGACCTAATCTTCAGGACCGTAGACTTGGCTAATATGTTCCTGAAAGAAAATGAAGCTTTTTTTTTAACAGGATTTTAGTATTGTCCTTCCTGGAGCAAACTGTTGAGAATAAGCAGAAGAATGGGGAAATAAATGTGAAGTATCCATGTGTCCTCACTGCGTTGCCAGATTTCCTAAGCTAAGAAGACAAAGGGTTATATTTTTCAAACAGAAAATGCAGAAGAAATTTAAAGAATTGCTTTGCAAAAACTCTTCGGTAGGAGCCAATAACTGTAAAGATGAATGTGAAGTCTGTGTTCCCAAGACCCCTGGTAAGGTTCAGCCAGAGCAGTCCAGGAATGGTTATCCAACCAAAGAGAGAGGATAAAAGCATGGTCAGGAATGAGCGGTTCCTTCCACAAATTGGGATCTAGTGTAGGGGAAAGCTGGGCTGAAGGCACGTTGGTTAGAAGTACAAGCCAAAGCTGGGATCCCGAGGTCTCGGGCCAGCTGATTGGGAGCAAGATCCAAGAAGAGAAGCCTGGAGCACAGTAGCTAAGAGGTCCGTGGAGCAGAGCAGAACAAGTGGTGAGATGCCACTGTACAGTGATGGAGCAGCCACCAGTGTGCCTCATCAGCCAGTCTAAGAGTGCTGGAACAGGTTAGCATGCTTCTCCAGGCACGTAAGATGGGATAGGGAAGAGCAAAATCAGGAGAGTGGATGAGAAAGCTTTATAAGTCTGATGAGTGGCTGCAACTGGATCCCATGAGTGGAGTCTGAAAGGAACTCAGATGAGGGAAGGAAAATAATGGATAAGCTTCAAAGGTACAGAGCTATCAGAGCTATTTCCAGTTTCCATTATCAGACAAGGGGACAGTTTTTGTTGTTCTTGCTCAGTAGACAGCATGGAAAGAAAATAACTGAAGATCCAGTTGTTTTATTCCTGTTCATGCTCCTCAATTGCAGTAGCCACCACGAAAATGTTCATTCATTAGTAGTTAACTTTTCTGGTCTATACACTACACCAATAAAGTGAACCTTGGCAAAATTCATTACTTGCAAGCTGTATGTGTCAACATTTTATAGCAATCACTGTACACAATGTCATCATGTGAGTGATGAAGGAAGGAGTGAGGTTTGATCTGACACAATCTGTTCTGTTTCTCAGACCATAAGTACACATTGCATGCTTACAGCTAGTGAAGTTCACACCAGTTGCCCATCCTAGGTGTACTCATGTGTCTACATGCTAGTAGGCAATACAAAGCAGATTTCTCTACAGCCATCCCAAATTGCCTTACCGCAACTAAGAAAGTCCTACACAGGTGCAAAGAGCAAATGGCTGGAGAGCCTTCCGTCCACATTGCAAGCGGAGCACTTTAGATAGTGCCCTGGTGCGCAACTTCAACTTTGGTTCCACCTGGAGAGAAGGTGCTTCATGTGCCACACTGGTATACTGGAGTGCATGACAGCAACACCAGACAAATTCACACTTGAAAACAACCTCGTCAGTACACAAAATCACTAATGTAGAAGCAGCTGTTCCAAGGTTAGGAAGATCAGTGAGGACGAGCTCAAAAAACAACAGAGCAGAGATGTTGAAAAAGATTTTATACTGATTTTATTTTCTCCATATGATGAATGTGAAACAAACCCCTTTCCTTAAGCGCTTTGATTTAGCATTCGTAGATTCCTTTTATTTGATTTATAGACTTTGATCTGGGCTATTAATGTTAAGTAATTGTGAGATATTTCCCCCTCAGCAATGCATGGAAAATCAGACCATCAATTGTTGGGTTACCCTGGGCTACTGTTAGCCAGCTCCTCCCATTGAACCAAGAATAATTTGGAAGAACTGTTTGATTCTGCTTGTGGAAAAATTCCTTGAGACGTTAGTTATGTTCTAGCAATGATAACAAACCTAATACTTCGTTGTAGGACAAATAATGTGCAATTTGTTGATTGATATTAATGTGGAATTTGTTCCGTATCATGTAAGACCATTGTTGTATATACAATATATTATTAAGTGGTTTTGATTATATTCATTAGGACCTGGATAAATGACCATGGATTCTTGGAGAAGAAATATTTTAAATGCAAAAATACATTATATCAGTAATATTGAGTTTCATTTCTATCTTTTCATGGGAAAAATTTATAAAAAGCTGAATCATGCATCTCTTGTCTACAGAGAGAGCTAAAACTTTGAAATGTTGCGCCGATAGGTATTTTAAGATTATTCCATTCAAAATATTCTGGATAGTTATTTAAACATACTTTTACCCAAACACTTGGGGATTTAACCAATATGTTTTGTTTTACACAGTTAAACCTAAGGAGGGTAGATTCTCAGTTGATATAAATGTCAGACCTTTAATAAGTGGATGGACTACCAACTCTCCAGCCAAACTTCCTCTTTACTGTCTGAGATTTCAAAAACTGGCTACTTAAATTAGCCCCCTAAATTCATACCTAGCAGTCTGACACTGTGCAGATTTTAAGTCCTTGGCATTCAATAACTTTTACCAACTTAATTCCTAATTTGTGAAATTTTATCTGTCTTGTCTTTTTCTATATGACGGATTGTTTATTCTAACAGTTTACTCTTGAATTGTCACTGCAAATTTTAGTATACCTAGCTGAACTCAATGCAATGCTAAATGTAGAATATTTCAGTTAAGAGAATTGAACCACTTTAGAGTTTCTGACATAAAATAGAAAGGAGAATGACAAGAATGCCTTTTAGCTCTTTAGAGAAGCAAATTTTAATGATTAAAAAAAGTAATTGAAGATCAAGATGTAAATCTAAAGCCATTATAAAGGGCAGTACCAAAGATCTGAAATGTTGTCAAAAAACCGAAAAGCTTAGTTCAGTCATTGTTAGGCCTGAACCTGCAAGTGCTAATTACCTTCTGCCTTCAGCTGAGAGTGCATAGTAGCAGTTGATAGGCACTTGGCATCTTGCAAAATCCGAGTTCCCTAGGCACACAAGACTTGAAAGGGAGTAACATTTTGTAAATTGAAAGTATCAGCTTCTGGAAATATAATTTCCATCTTAGTCTGGTTTTGTATGTCAAAGAGATCTTCTGACCTACATGTACTCATGCTGACCTGCACATCCATGCCAAATCATTATAGAGCCATATAGCTTGACATAGTTAAAGATCCTTTTGACATAGAGCTCAACAGTCACACATGATAGCTAGACATTACAGAAGGTAGAATAAAATTTTGGTCTCTCTTAGAATATCTGTGCTTCAAAATTTCTACTTTCCTGAACACAACTTCAAATGAGAAACTGTTAATGTAATAATATGGATTATGAGCAAATGTAGTTGAGGTAAAGTGGGAGATGAGTTGAAAATAAGATGAGGTTTTCAGTCTTGAAACCTGTTTCCATTGCAGTCTACTTTTTCAAGTAGAGTATACAACTCCACCAGGGGCCACTGGGAGGGTTAGAGTCCTTTTAGGGGACGCAAATTGTTAATGAAGGTACTACTGTAAAAAGGTCATTTCTCCATGGTTTTTACTAATGTTTGTGTGTGGATGTTTTAATTTTTATTTCTTCCTTCTATGTCCTCCTTGTCTATGTTGTGTCTCATGACTGTTCTGGATTGTCACTTGCGGTAGGTTTATTTTGCTCTTTGGACGCACCTAGTCTGAAGCTCTGATACATATAGTCTTCTGACAGCTGTGGCTCCTCAGCTGGGATTTATATGTAGTAGCTTTGATACACACATCAAGAGGCTGAACTAAATTGATTCGGTATTTTTTTGGTTGGGTATATATTTGGGAGGAGATTAGAGGAGGGCAAAAGAAAAGAGGTTGTCATTCTTTCTGTAGTTTAAATATTGAGACAAACTGTACTGGAAAGCTCAAGTTTAAAATTGATAGGCACATAAAAATAACTTGCTAATTTTATTTCCTTTTTGTATAAATGTCACCATATCAAAAGTAGACAAAAGCAGTGTGTATTTTTGATGTCGTAGTTTCTAGGTGTTGCTAAAATGATTGGTACCTCATGAAACTTGCTGTGGTCTCTCGCATCACCTCAGTACAGTGCCCACGCTTTAAGTTCTTAGTGCTCCATACCAAACTCTTTTAAGTGGTCTTACTCCAGATTTCTGTTGGTGCAACTGAATGACAACTAGCACCAGTGTTTTTATGAGATCTTCCCATCACAGTTCTCATCTTTATAACTTTCCAGTCTCTGTCAATGCCCCTGGTGGCTCCCACTACTTTTGTCTTTAGGAAAAAAAAAAAAAAGACACCCAGCTCCAGAGACAGTATAATAGCTGCTGATTTATTGAGT